GGAATGCTGCCTTTTGTCATCCCGGAGCAATGCTTTTGGGTGGATTTGGGATGGTCTCAGTCACCCGCTGTTGGGATAAAGCTGCTTGGAGTGAGTCGGTGCCGGGTTTCAATCCATTCCCAAGCATCCAAACCCTCCTTTGGATGGATAAAACGTGGTGATGAAGTGATAAAGAGCCCCAAAGCTTCATCTGGGAGTGAAACTCCCTTTAAACTTCCTGAAAACAGGAGTTGTAATAATAATAACAAGTATTTTTCCCTCCTTCTGCCCCCCCTGGCTCACTGCTGGCTGCTAAACCCCAGCTATCCCTGTTTCTCCTATAAAACTGGAGCTTGTGGAATCACTCTGGAGCCGTTCCCTGGCTCCCAACCCTCCACCTGCCTTGGAAAACATTCCCTTTGTGCCACCAGGGTCAAAGGGACTAAAATTCCAAGTATCTGGGGGCAGTTTTAACCCCAAATCCAGTTAAAGCAGCAGCTCCTGGTTCAAACTCGATCCAATCCTATGGTTTTCCTTTGCTTTTGGGGTGAAACCTCAGGAATACAATGGGAAACTTGAGGTTTAATTGTGCTTTAGAGCAGCTTAATCCCTCCCTTTTGTCCTGGCTGCAGCAAACAGAGCAGGGAGTGAGCCTTATCTTAGTCCAGGCCTTGGCTCCTGCTTAACTTCACCTTCGGCTCCGGCCTCTTCCATCCCTGTTTTCCCTATAGGCTTCCCAAACAAAGACGCTGCAGGCTTCCCAAACAAAGCCGCTGCCGGTATGCCGCTGTTGCCGTGGCTATATCGGGTGTCCATATGTGCCCAGATATTCCCACTGTGGGTGATGGATCCCGGGCTTTGGAGCAATATCCCCTTACACATTCTGCTCCAGAAATAGCCCGGGCTGAGCTGCCGGGCCCGCGGCAGCCAAAATAACCCCCCTCTGCTCCCTGTCTCCTGAGGGCATCTGGGAATGCTGCTGCCGGCAGCTCCGCCTCGTCTTCCCCTGCCGGAGCTGGAGCAGGGGGACGTGGTGGCTGCTGGTAGCTGCAAGGGAGGCTGCTGTGGGCAGCGGTTGGGAGGTTGGAGTTCGGTTGAGCAGGTGGGGTTGGGGTCAGGGTTGGAGTTGAGTGGAGCATGTTGAGGTTGGGGTTGGGTTGAGGAGGTTGAGTTGGAGATGATGAGGTCGAGCTGAGGATGTTGAGGTTGAGATGATGTTGGGGTTGAGGGGATTGAGTTGGGGATGTTGAGTTGAGGATGTTGAGGTTGAGGGGGCTGAATTGAGGTTGTGGTTGGGTTGAGGAGGTTGAGTTGGAGAGGTTGGGTTGGGGTTGAGCTGAGGAGCTTGAGTCGAGGTTGGGTTGCGAAGGTTGAGTTGAGGATGTTGAGGTTGAGCTGAGGTCGAGTGGAGGATGTTAAGGATGAGTTGAGGATGTTGATGTTGAGCTGAGGTTGAGTTGAGGATGTTGGGGTTGAGGTTGAGCTGGGGTTGAGTTGAGGGTGTCAAGGTTGGGGTTGAGGAGTTGACTTTGTGTCGAGGTTGGGTTGAAGAGGCTGAGGTTGCGCTGAGGACGTTGTGCTGGTTTCTGATGCCCACGAGCCACCTCCCATGGCCAAGCTGACCCCCCCGTGCTCCTCTTCCCTTCCTCCCCGCAGATGACCCGGACCCCGACGATGGGTTTAACTACAAGCAGATGATGGTGCGGGATGAGCGGCGCTTCAAGATGGCTGACAAGGACGGGGACCTGACGGCCACCAAGGAGGAGTTCACGGCCTTCCTGCACCCCGAGGAGTACGACTACATGAAGGACATCGTCGTGCAGGTGGGTGGCTGCGTCCCGGTCGTGCTGAAGGAGCAGATGGAGAAGGTTGGAAGTTTGGGTGGTCACCAGGAACGGGCCCGTGGTGGGTACCTGGGTTTTGGGGGGGGGTGGGAGGCGTTTGGGCATCCTGGGGCTGGATCAGTGCTGGGAAAGGGGTGGAATTCCATGGAACCCACCATCATCTCCTTGCAGGAAACCATGGAGGACATAGACAAGAATGGAGATGGCTTCATTGACCTGGAGGAGTACATAGGTGAGGTGCCATCACTGCGTCCCCTCCTTGCTCCATCCAGCCTGGAATTTGCTGCTGGAATGTGCTATCCCATCCCTTCCCCCCCTGGAATTTTATCTCTCATGACCTCCTGACTTTAGACCTTGCTCCGACCTCATGGTGGGATTCCTGGTGCTGAGGGCTCAGGGTGGGAAAAGCAGCTCCCATATCCAGGAGGGATGGGAATGTCTGCCCAAAACATGGGATTTATCCATGGTGGGGGGCTGCCAACTCCAAAATACATCAGGAGAAACGTCGCTTTCCTCTGCACATGGATTTGGAGGGAGATTTAGGGATATAAAATGAGTCCTTGAAGGTGGAAAGGGGCGTCTTGTCAACGTGTCCATCAGCGGAGCCATCTCCCACTGGTGGCTGCTCCCTTGGGAAGAGCTGTTGGAATGGTGTCCAAGCGCACCTTGTGTTTTCCAGGTGACATGTACAGCCACGACGGCGATGCCGACGAACCCGAGTGGGTGAAAACGGAGCGGGAGCAGTTTGTGGAATTCCGGGATAAGAACCGCGACGGCAAAATGGACAAAGAGGAAACCAAAGACTGGATCCTCCCTTCGGATTACGACCACGCCGAGGCGGAAGCGCGGCACCTCGTCTACGAGTCCGACCAGAACAAGGTGGGAATGGCACCATGGTGCGTGTCCCACCAGGGCTGAGCTCTGCATCCGTGGAGGGGTTCACCTGGGTTTGGGACACCAAAGGAAGGGAAAACCATGGGCAGACGGGATGTGATGGAGGGTCGCTGATGGGAATATCCCTCTTTCCTTGCAGGATGGCAAGTTGACCAAGGAGGAGATCGTGGAGAAGTACGACCTGTTCGTGGGGAGTCAGGCCACGGACTTCGGGGAGGCCTTGGTGAGACACGACGAGTTCTGAGCCCGGAGCCATTCCCACGTAATTTATTGCTTCCAATTCCTGGGATTTGATGGTCGGAAACATTTGGGGGCTCCCGAGCCCGCTGGGGTCAGGCGCTGAGGTGCAACGTCGCCGACGAAACCCTCTCTTCCCGTCCTCTTTCCATCTCCTCCTTCCTTCCCAAAGGGATGGGGAGATGCCGTTGGGAAAAGCCAACGCTTCTTAACGGCGCTTTTGGGCTTCAGTTGGGGGGTGTTTTTTGGGGTGGTTTTTTTTAGATTGACTCATTCTCTGACGGTTTGAGCCACTTCTCCTTATTTTTATACTCCTGAGGGTTCCATGTGACGTGAAGGAACTTCTCCTCCTCCTCCCAAGAAGCCACCTCATGGCTTCCCCTTCACCCACCCTCGTTCTTGGCCTTTCCTCCTTGGGGTGGACTCCAACAAACTCAACCCATCACGATCCCAAATTGACTTAACTAAGCCCAAACCCCCATAATCCTGATGGAAACCCAGCACTAAACCAGACCTGGAGTTGAGCTGGGCTCGGATTAGACCCACCTTGGCCAACCCACCCGCTCTTGTCCTGCTGGAAGAGCTGGAAGCACCAAACCTCCTCTCCATTGGCCTCAAGTGGCCACCATCATGTCCTCCGGTCATTAATGGGCCTGTTAATGAAGCACCATCAACCCCAACATGCTGGTGGCTTCTTGTTGCCCATCCAAGTGTTTTCCCTCTTCTTCCACCCCAGAATGTCGCTCCAAGTGCCTTTAATCCACCCAAACCCCCCCATTCCGAGGAGGAACGGCCCGGCCAGGGCAGGGTGATGATGATTAATGATGTTAATATTATCCGTAATTCCCTTGTTTTTAAACCACGTGGATCCGGGAATGTTGCGATTCCATCCCGGCACCAACCAGCATCAACATGGATCCGTCTCCAGTTGAGAGGTTGATGCCGGTCACTGGTTGAGGGGATGCATGGAAAATCCACACGGATTCTGCCTAAATCCCACTCTAGGGGTTAAAGCACCAACCACCAGGATAGTTGCTCTTCCCGGTTGGATTTGGATAGAGCTCAGTGGGGCATCCGATGATCCTGGTCTGGGATTTGGCTTCAAGTCCCTCTTCCCGAAAGGATTTGAAGCCGGGAGCAGCATTAACGACTCCAAACACTAATTTCCTTCCCGAATTCCCTTCCCCTCATCCCACCATGTTTATTCCCTGGTTATTTGTTGGGATGGGTTCAGTTGTGTCCAACTGTGGCTCAATAAATCCCGGTTCCATCCACCCCACGCTGCCTCCTGATGGAATTCCTCTGGCTTTATCCCAAAATGAGGCCATGGGGGGTGCCCCCACCTCGGCTCTCCCGGAGCGGGAGGATGGGCTCCGGTGGGATCCCTTCCTTTGGAAGTGGTTACATGGCTGGGGAGGGCAGACACGGCTCCGGAATCACTTCCCACCCCCGCTACCAGTTGGGATATGGGGATCCTGAGTCCATGGGGGGATGTGTGGGGCTGGGGGGGTCCTGCCTGCTGGTCCCCGACCCCATGGATGGGATTCAGCGCTGCTCCAGCCCCATGGATGGGGGCTCGGAACCACCCCAGCCCCACAGATGAGGCTCAGCCCCATCCCAGCTCCATAGATGAGGCCCCAGCCTCACTCCAACCCCGTGGATGGTTTCCATCCTTGTCCCAACCCCAGGGCTGGGATCCAGCCCAGCCCCATGGGTGGGGGGCTCAGCACCAACCCAGCCCCATAGATGAGATCCAGCATCACCCCAGCCGCATGGATGGGGGCCTCAGCATTACGCCAGCCCCACAGATGAGCAGCTCAGCCCCATGGATGGATGGTGGACACCATCCCACCTCCCTGCCCCACCACTGCCTGCGTGCCCAGGACAGGCTGATGCTGCAGAGCCCCACAGTGACACCTCCATGGGGCTCAGCACCGTGGGGCTGCGACCCCCATCCCCACCCTCTTGTGGGGCCGCAGATGCTCCTCGTTGCACTGGGACCAGGGTGGTGGTTTATTGTCCCACCAGCACCTACATCCTAGGCCGGCCGTGGGGTGGCCCCTGCCCCACAGCAGTGGGGGGGGCGTGGCTGGTGGCTCCTCAGCTGGGGCCGACCTGGCTGGAGGACACGGAGGAGACCTCGGTCCTCTGGGCAGAGCTGGACACGTCCGAGTCATCCGTCATGGGCTTCCCACAGACCATCTCCATGATGCAGCCGCGGAACTGCAGGTGGGAATGGGGCTGGGTCAGCCCCATGTGTCCCCATCCCCATCCCCGGCATCATCTTCCACCCCTTTGGTGGCACCTTGGTCCCATCTCCTGGCTCTGGGGACGTGGGATGGCCCTGGGCATTCCCCATCCCATGTGTCCCCTTCCCTCAGCACAAGGGGTTCCTGGGCCCCGCTCCATGGGCACCCCTGGGTGATCCTGCTCCACAAGTGTCCCCAGCATTCCTGGTCCATGGATGTCTTTCTGTACCCCAGGGTGTCCCCATTGTCCGGGTGTCCCAGGATGCCCCCATCATCTGTGTATCCCATGGTGTTCCCATTGTCTGGGTGCCCCTGAACCTCAGATGTTCTTGAACCCCTGGATGTCCTCATTGTCCATGTGTCCCTGAGTGTCCCCATCACCCAGGTTTCCTTGGATGTCCCCATCATCCTTATGTCCCACAATCTCCTTGGTCCCCAGATGTCCTTGAGCACGCAGAATGTCCTCATTGCCCTGATGCTCCTGGATGTCCCCACTGTCCATGTGTCCCTGAGTGTCCCCATCAGCCGGGTTTCCTTGGACGTTCCCATCATCTTTATGTCCCATAATGTCCCCATTGCCCTGGTGTCCTGGGATGTTCCTAGTCCCCAGATGTTCTGGAGCACCCCAGGATGTCCCTATCACCCGGGTGTCCCACAGTGTTCCTGGTCTCCAGATGTTCTTGAAGCCCCGGATGTCCCCATTGCCCACGTGTCCCCTGGTGCCCCCACTGTCCGGTGTCACCTGTTTGTTCATGAAGCAGTAGATGATGGGGTTGTAGACGCAGGAGCTCTTGGAGAAGAAGGCAGGGATGGTGACCAGGCGCAGGTCGATGCCGTGGTCGCGGTTGTTCACCATGTACATGGCCAGCGCCGCGTAGGGCACGTAGCAGAGGCAGAAGGACCCCACCATCACCACCACCATGCGCGACACCTCCCGCTCTGCCTTCTGCGTCGTGGCCGACTCCTGCTGCTGCGCCGCCACCTGCACCACGCACAGGGACAACCCCATCCCATACCCACCCTGTACCCATCCCATACCCACCCTGTACCCATCCCGTACCCATCCCGTACCCATCCCGTACCCATCCTGTACCCATCCCGTACCCATCCCATATCCATCCCGTATCCATCCCGTGTCCATCCTGTATCCATCCTATACCCATCCCGTACCATCCCATAGCCATCCTGTACCCATCCCATATCCATCCTATATCCATCCTGATCTATCCTCATCCATCTGTCCCACCTCCATCCATCCCACCTGCGCCCAGGCATCGACATCCATGGGAACCACATCCTGCATCCATCCTGCATCTATCCATCCCTCCTCCATCCCATATCCATCCATCCCACCTGCACCCAGACAGGGACACCCATCAGGACCAACTCCACCCATCCCATATCCATCCTGCATCCACCCATCCCACCTCCATCCATCCCACCTGTGCCAGGCACAGACACCCGTATCCAACCCGTATCCATCCCATATCCATCCATCCTGCATCCCTCCCTCCCACCTCCATCCATCCCACCCAGATCCTGCATCTATCCTGCACCCATCCCACCTCCATCCCACCCCACCTGTGCCAGACATGGATACCCATGGGACCCACCTCCATCCATCCCACCTCTGTCCTGCCCTGTCCTGCATCCATCCCACCTGCACCCAGATGTGCCACCCATGGGCACCTCCCTCCATCCCTTATCCATCCATCCCACCTCCGTCCTGCATCAATCCATCCATGCACCCATCCCACCTCCATCCATCCCGCCTGTGCCAGCCGTGCCACCCATGGGCACTTGTGTGCCTCCTGCCCCCATCCTGCCTCTGTCCTTCTGCCCAAACAGCCCTTCCTACCTCCACCTCCCTCTAACTTCCTCCATCTCCCTCTATCAGCCTCCATCACCATCCCTCCCTCTCTCCTTCCATACATCCCTCCATCTCCATCCCTTCATCTCTCCATCCCTCCCTTCCTCCCTCCCTCCCTTCCGCCATGCCTCCTCCCTCCATCCCCATCCCTCCCATGCCGTTCCCAGCCTGGAGCCGCACTCACGGCGCGCAGGGCGCTGAGCAGCTGGGAGTAGGAGAAGATGATGAGGGACAGGGGCACGATGAAGCAGAAGATGAAGAGGAACCACGTGTAGTACTCGCTGCGGTACTTGGTGCCCACCGTGTACCAGTCGGGGCCGCAGGAGCACTGCAGCCCCTCGGGCACGTACCTGCGGGCACCGCGCTCAGCACCGTGCCTGGCACCCCCATAGTGCCCCTATGGGGCCCCTATGGTACCCCTGCGGCATCCCTATGGCAGCCCTGTGGGATCCCATGGTGCCCTATGGCACCCACCCATGGTGCCCTATGGCACCCCTATGTCCCTCCATACCCCCCGTGTCACCCTATGGCACTCTGTGGCATACCCGTGGCACCCTAGTGTCACCCATGCCACCCCATACCCCCCTGTGTCACCCCAACATCACCCCAGTGTCACCCATACCACCTCATACCTCCCCATGTCACTCTATGCCATCCTGTGTCACCCCGGTGGCACCCCTACGTCATCCTATGGCACCCTAATGTCACCCCATGCCCTCTCGTGCCACCCCGGTGTCACCCCATACCCCCTCTATTACCCCTATGCCACCCCCACGTCCCCCCGTGTTGTCACCCCGAGTCCCACCTGCTCCACCCGAAGAAGGGGGGGATGGCGACGCCGATGCCGATGACCCACGTGGCCACCACGACCACCAGCGCGTGCTTGGA